TTACTTTTGTTTTTGTCAACATTAAAATTTGTCAACTATCAACCTTTGAAAGAGTATATAAACCCTACAAACTTAACAGTTGATAATTTAGTTTTTAACCATCAGATAGTTGTTCAAAATAGCTTGTTTAGAACTAGAAGCTCATTCTACTCAATACATATTCTTTGCACGAAATACTGGTGTTTTGTTGATTAATTTCTACCAAAATTACATTTGTTAGACTATTTGTGGATGAACTTAAAGGTTCTATTTGTGTGAGTACTTTGGTAAGTCGGTAAATGATTGGAAAGGACGATTACAGTTGTGATGAATCAGAAATTCCTACAATTACAATACAACAAAGTACAGTTAGTGCAAATTCAAAATTTGAATTTATTAAATTAATTACTTAATTAAGGTTGATCAGATAGTTCTTCTTCTCCATCACTTTCAATTTGTTCAGAAGTAGTAGATGTTTCATCCTCTTCATTGCTGTCGCCATATGCGGAGGAGGTAGTAAATATATCGGAATCTTCATCATCATCAATAGAATCGTATAAAGACAAATTATCAGATGACATAAAATCAGAATCATCAAATAAACTGTTTGGAAAAATTTCCTCATTATGGAAAACGTTATCTATTTTTGGAAAATAGTAAATATGATAATTGATGTTTAATTTTGTTAAATCAGTTTGTTGTGAAATAAAATCTTGAAATAAGATAAAATCTATCCTATCAGTTGGAAAGAAGTTGATTATTTTTAATGTTTTCAACATTAGTGTTTCATACTCGAAGAGTTGACTCTGTAAGAGGTCAAGTAGACAAGTTGCAACCAATCTTTCAGGATCATAAATGAAATATAAACTCAATTTTATCAATTTTGTTTGTGATTCAATAAATTTAATGATACTATAAGTCAAAGCCTTGGAATTGATTGTCAGCTTTTTCAAATATGTTATACAAGAGATTCTTTGCAGAAAATCTTCAAAATCATTAGTAGATTCTGGATACAAGTGTAAATTTTCTAAACATTTCTGATTAATTAGAATATTTGCAAATGTCGGACCATCACAAGTTGATGTTAGGGGTATATCAATTGTTTTCAAACTTAAATTTATAAAATTGATGGGTTTAATCAAATATCCTGATGTAATATTGTTCAATCTTGAGATATTCACTCGAAGGGTTTTCAGATTTGTATTCTTTTTAAGAAATGGAAGAAATTCAAGCTTTCTTAAAAATTCTAATTGAATGTAATACTCTGAATTAAAATTACTGTTTGCCGTCTCAGATAAAGTTTCACTCTTAGCAGGTTCAATCAAACCAAAAAAGATATTAAATAAATGAATACTTTTAAGTTCTGTTTGATTCTTAAAAAACTGAACAAAACTTTCAGAAGATTCTCTTTTCAATGAAATATTCTTTAAACAGATTTTTTGAAGTTTTTTTAAACAATTTAATCTTTGTTGATTCAAAATAAAAGGTGAAAGAAAACTTCTTGTATAGTCAAATTTCAATTCTTCAACACTGTTCAAACAAATATTATTCAATATTTCATCATATTTTTTAACTTGTCTTAAAGTTAAATTTTGTATTGGTTGATTCTGTAAGAAATTGAAATTACAAAACTTGACAGCTTCATCTTCATTTAGAGAAAGTTTTGTTAAAATAGAACACTTTGATGTAAATATTAACAAATCATTTTCTTTAAATTCGTTAATCTTTTCTTTACAGAAATCAAAAATCAAATTTATTACAAGTGGAGGGACAAAAAAGTTATTCTTTAGACAGATTTCACCTTGTTTGTCTATTGAGTTATATATTTGAAATAGAGCCAAATGTTTTAAACTCTTAGCGGGCATTATCCTCAATATCTGCTGAAACTGAAAGCAAAAATCATGGTAAGGTAAAAAAAATGGTGGTAAGGACACCAAAAAAAAAAAAAAGCAGTACTAGAACAATTTTCGAAAATGTGACGAGTATAGTTTATTAGACAGAAAAGGATTACCAATATTTATGGCATAGTTTCATATCTATGTTATCTATGTTATCAAACTTTTCACTTCTGATGGTTACTTTTTGAATGCAATCTAATCCTTTGTTTCAATTAGGGTTTATTCAATGAATCATTGACACAAACATCTATCAACCATTCTTAAAAGTTAATTATCACAAACCACGTCTAAATGGAAGGAATGCAACAGCAAAAAAAATACAACAACTGCAAAATTCTCCTATTTTTGGATTCATTATTGGTTTTGAGTAAAAGCTTAAAAGTGTTGACTAAAACAAGACTCATTTCCTTTCTGATTTACTTATAAATACTATGACAAACTATCTCCTAAGTAAATAAACTCTTGGTTACGCTATGCTTATTATTGAAAAATAAGAAGAGAGAGAGAGAGAAGCAAGCACTTCCTTGGCTAATTACCTTTGCTTTAAAATTGACGGTAATTTTATCATAAGTGACATTTCTGACATTTCCGACATTTTAAAAAATGTCAATTGACATAATTACAAACTAACCTCATAAACTTTAACCTGTTTGTAAAATACTTTTTACAGTGTTATAGTGTTGTTAGTTGTTTATGTTGGGTCAAATTGAGGTCATGCTTTGGGCATTATTCCTCTAAATATATATTTGTTGATGTAGTATAAAGTAACTCTAAGAAAGGTCTCTTTAGAATTTTCTATCGCTTGGGGAAATGTAATCTTAAGTTATTTAATCAGTATTATTAAAATATCATTACAAAGATGGCTAATAACAAATGAATTTGATTACAGCAAATAGTTAAGATTCATATAAAATCTATTTTCTGTAGAGATCTAAAGCTCATTTCTATTTGATAAAAGAGAAAAAATGGAGAATACAACTCTATCAACTGTTGGAATAGACTTTGAATTTTTCATACCATTTCTAATTTATATATCAATTACTATGACAATTGGAATATTTTCAAATTTTCTTATTCTATTCTTCTATAATTTTAAGAAAACTTTTAATCCTAATGATTTATTTATTAAATTTATGGCAATTGTCGATATAATTGTATGTTTGATTTGTGGTCCTTTTTCTATTGTTCTCGAAATGGGTATGATTACTAATAGTATCATTTGTAAAATGGGTTTGTTCTTCTATCATTATCTATTAGTTACCTCGTCATTCGCATTCCTGTTTGTTGCCGTTGAACAATGGTTTTGCATTTGTAGACCTTTGATTAAACTCAATGAAAAACACATAAGAATGATGTTTATGTCGTTGTCTTCATTCTCTTTATCGTCTGGTTTATTAAATTGTCTAAAATACGGAATTAGAGTTGGAAAAAGATACGACGGTCGTGTATTGATCAATTGTTTTCCAATACCCGGAATATTAGATAATGTACATAATTACCTTACTAATGTTCTGTATGTAACGGCTGTAATTCTGCTATATACAACCTATGGCCTAATTTATAGGGTTATCATATTAAGAGCAATAAAACTAAGAAAGAATAGAGTGAATGAGGATCAGACAACTTCTAAACGTTCTAAAAGCTTTAAGAAGAATATTAGAACTGTATCTATGCTATTTGGCGCATCAACAATATTTCTAATCAGCTGGTTTCCATTGTCATTTTCAAATACTGGCATTTTTCCATCAAATATCGTTCTATATCATATCTTTTTTATTAATAATTGTACAAATTTTTTTGTCTATGTTCTATTTCAGATAACGTTTCGTAAAAATTTACTCAGGCATTTTTTATGTAGAAATTCAACTATCGACAGTTCAAGTAAAAAGACTAATACTACAAATCAAACGTCGCAGACGCGGACAAGTTTAACTTGAGGATAGAAAATCTGGAATGAAATCTTTCTCAATTGTTAGGTTTTGTGTTAAAGGAAGACTGGAAAAGCAATAATAAAAGATTATATTTTTGCCAATTCCTTACCAGTTTTCCTCTCTTTTAAGTGGCTATCATATTGTTGTCTTTATTGTTGTTGTTGCTGTTGTTTTTTAGAGGCCTATATACATTTACAAATAGTAAAAAGTCAGTTATTACTTGTAAAAAAAAAAAAGGATTACACAAATACTGAAAACTAAAATAACACTTTCCAGTTAAGAGCAACATTTCAGTCCTTGTTAGGCCTTAGCCGAAGGTTAGAAGTCTGAAAAAGGGTTAGGCCGAAACTCTTAATAAGTTAAAGCATAATTTGAAAATCCGTATTTTCTTGTACATAATAGAGATATCTATTAATTCTTGATGTTCCTTCAATGTAAAAATTTGGATACGACAGAAAACGTCCCCAAATGCATGGTTTAACCCTAACCCTAACCTAGCCCTTGTCCCTCTCTAACCTTTTTGATTACCCCTAACCCTTAGATGGAACCCCCCTAACTACAAATCAAAAGCTACTTTACTCCTACTAACCATTTTTCAATCCGAAATGTTGCTTTCAAAAAACTCACTTGGGGACGTTTTCTGTCAGCCCCTAAAAATTTACATCATACAAACTAGAGATTCAATAGAGAAGACAATGTGGAAGAAGATTGTTTGCCTTTTCTTATGTATTGCAGTTAAAGTGTTTTCAAATCATGTAAATTTGGCTTATGAACAATTTACAAACATGTCTGGTGTGTGGCCATCCAGCGATACTCATTTAGCGGTAAATGGAGAATTCGATCCCAGATACCTGGATCATAAAAGAAGTAGTCATACTTTGGAGACAAATCGACCGTGGTATTTGATTCAATTAGACAAATCCTATATTATTAAGACCATAAGAATTCTGAATAGAAGAAACTATTCTGCAAATATGAAAAATTTGATTATAGGTACTCGACTGTTAAAGGAGACGTCAATAAAAGATTTTAGTGCCTATAAGCAATTCCTGGTAAGGTTTCAGCCTCTAGATCTGAAACAATGCACTACAATGGTAGACCTCATTTTGCAACTTCAGTTATAATATACAGAGATGAACATGGAATTCTAGCTTTATGTCAAATTGAAATGTGGAGTTTAGATAATATTAGTAAAAATAAGATGACATCAATAAGTAGTACACCTAATGATAATTCAAAAAGCTCGTATGCTGTTGATAGCCAAACCTGTTCAGTGTATGGTCAAAATGGCATTTATTGTTCTCATACAGCGAGGGAGAAGACACCGTGGTGGAAAGTTGATTTAGAGAAAACCAGTGTTGTGTTTGCTGTGACAATCATTACGAGAGGATATATCAACAGTGATAGATCAAGGAATCTTCGTATTGCCGTTGCTAATGATGACAGTGTTCCTACACCGCAAACACTGTCCAAAATCAACAGTTGGTCGTTATTTATCGACTACTGTCATTTCCAATCCTCAAAATGACCCATTAATCTTATGCGAAGTAGACGTTTTTGGTTATAATTTGGACAGGAACCTAGTTACGAATATCATATTTCATAACGAAACTGATTACTATCACAATACAAATGAACCTATTGAAGATTGCAGTGAACATAGAAAATACAATGCAGATATATCAAAATTTCATAAGTCGTCATTTCAGCTGATAATAAAAGGCGTAAGCATTGTAAAGGCTTGTAAAGAAGGAAATTTTGATTTAGTATCAATTTTCACAAAGACAAAAGGAGAATTTATAAATGAATGTAAACTTTTGAGTGTCGTTGATGGCTATTTTACGGAAAGAGTTTGATACATGTACTTTTTTCTGTGACTGCCGTGTTTATAATTGTAAATCATTCTCCATTTCTTATTCATTAACCATAGAAACATTGTATAAAGAAATTTTTATCTTTTTTAAATATTGACCTACAACACAGCTGCTATGTTACACTTTAGGGTGAATTAACTCTTTTGCTCTCTCTCTCTCTCTCTGTCTCTCTCTTTCAAATACAAAAACTTCAGGAAAGAAATGATCATTATTGATTATTGGATTGAAAACACACACACACATACAATACATCTTCAAAAGTAAGAATATTGAATAATTGATAAAAGTCAAAAAATTAACCTTAAACATTGAAAGAACGTCATTCAAATAAATAATTCCCCAATTCCATTCATTTTCAATACTGTCGACAAAAATTTGCTCTAACAAATGTTAAAGTCTTTATAATCATTTATAGATCTTCTGAAAGTGAATGGAAAAGTTGAATTTGTGATTGGAAAAGTTGGAAAATTCCATAACCTTAAAACAGTGCTGGAAAACTTACTGATGGTTACACTTCATAATTCACAGAGAAAGCTTGCCAAAATGATGACTTTTTTCTCTATGATTCAATGGAAATAGGACATAGAAAATGTTAAATGTTCAAAATTAACATTTTTTGAACATGGAAATTCAAAAAAAAAAGAATCAAAAGAATAACAAGAGAAAAGATCATAAGATAGACTTGAAAATAAACGAGAAAAGATTTTAAGTGACAGTTTTTTTTGCAAGCATTTAAAAATCTATCTCTTTCTAAAATTTCAAATGTAAAGAATTGATTCCCAATAACCAAACCTTTATTGGTAATTAAAGATGAGCCTTGAAGCTGACTAATGAGACTTATGTTTGGCCAATGTTATAGCATTTTCTTGTGTAGGTTTTAAGATGTACATGTATATATTGCATCAAATAATAGAGTTCAAGCATGTAAAATATAACCAAAGTTTTACAATGTCGACCCAACTCAACTTTGTATAATAGATTAATGTTTTTTCAAAAATGTGTATTATGACGTAATTTCCAAACGGAAATAGAGTTTTGTTGGAATTAATTCATTTTAAAAAATACATACATCTCCTTAAAAAATATTTGCAGTCGTTTTGAAATAAATAGCGAAAATGATTTGCAGACGAAACCATTGCATTCACATTTATATTTACAAGAACTAAACATATCTCTTTCGATGTTATATCCATTTTTTACATTTATTAAACTGCAAATATTTTCGTATTTCATTCCGCTCGATTGGTTTAATTCAAATATTACGGATGTAGATATTATACTCTTTTGACACAGGTCATCAACACCAACACCTGTCAGGTCAAGTTCAAACTCTGTTTTATTATATAAAGCGATATCGGTTGAATATTTCACATTTCCGTTACAGTCTTTCTCCTCCTCTCCTTTGTATTCGTATTTCTCATCGTCGTAAAGTATTGTATAGACGATGAGAGACTCTGACAGATTGAAACCAAATATGTCTACTTCGCATAGAGTAAGTTTTTCCGTATGCCCAGTTTCCGATTTAATCATAACGGAAACGTATTGGCCAATAGACCATTGAGGACATCTACTTGTTAAATAGACTCCCTGATTACCGTTAAAATTGCCACATTCTCTATAAACATTGGGTGAAGGTAGAGTATTATTTTCACTTATTGCAATTCGAAGATTGTGAAATGAAAATTTGTCAATTCTGCCAATAGTTGTTACAGCGTAAATAACACTTTTCTCCTCTAAATCAACTTTCCACCACGGATTATGTTCAATATCTGAACATGCGCATGGGGCTAACCAATTTTGAAGTCCCATATTATGAAGACCATTCGACTGACCATCTAAAGCATAATTCGGCAATCTGCCAATTGAACTCATTGTAGAATTTTTAAATTTAGCAATATTTTTCAATGTCCATATTTCCATTTCGCATAAATTTAAAAATTGGTGGTCATTTAAATAAAGTAGAACAACGGAACCGTAATGAGGTTTGTCAGTAAAATGAAATGTATGAGATCCAGAAGGTCCGGGACTGTTTGCCTTATATCCAAATAGTTTGTAATCATCAAAATTGATTGTAGCTATGTCTCTTGATAATTTAGTTTTTATATAAATGTTTTTCAATCTATCAGAAGAGCCGTGTCTGTTCAGAATTCTAATATCTCGAATGATATAAGCCCTATCCAATTGTACAACAAGCCACGGCCTATAAATATATGTTGTATGAAGGCAGGCAGTGTTATGAACAGCCACTGTATAGAAATTTCCATCCAATACTGCACTGGCTGGACCACCAAACTGAACACTAATTTCTTTACTGTTCTGCTTATAGGCGATATTTACGTGTTTACTTGACAAAGTCAAAATAGGAAATTCCAGAAGAAAAAGGAGTGAAATTACCATTTTAGATTGAGAGCTGTATGATAGAAAATAAGAGAAAAAGTGGATTATATTATTGAATTAGATATTCAAATTTAATGAGTATGAACTAATCTCTAATTCAAATGTTGAACAGTTAACGATTGAATGTGACATTTCTTATTTAGGACTAAAGCTTTATTAGACTTTATTTAAATTATACATGCAATGCATTTTAAATAAAGTTAGCCTATAATATTACCATAGCAAAATGCATCTTTAATTCACCAATTGAACAAAATTTATCCTACCCTTTGTGAGTGATTATCACAAACTATTAATATAGACAATCGTTACTTTCTATTAACATAAAATAATTTTATTGATTCTACCCTCTCTCTCTCTCTCTCTGCTTTGTGTCACGTGATCTATAGGTCAAAATTCATCTTACCAATCATATTTGATTATGCAACACTATTTAATTTTGCTTTGTAAACATAGATATATATTTCTATAAATTCTAAATATCTATCTATAGTTAAATCTATATTCTGATTGATAATGATAAAGATTGAGAAATGGTTAGGCAGAAGAAAACAGCAACTGATTTATACTTAGGAGGGTCTAATGGAAAAGGTTAGGTACAGCTAAGGGCTGGGGTTAGGGTTAGAGTAAAAGCACTCATTTGTGGACGTTTTTGTCGCATCCGTTTCATAAAGAATACGTTTTCACAATTGATTAGATTAAATTTAAAAATAAAAAAATACAGTTTCATACCAAATATTACAGTTTAAAAACTGTATCAGTTTAAAAATTGTATCAGTTCAAAAATTGTATCAGTTCAAAAACTGTATCAGTTGACTAGATAAGAAGTGATATTTTAATGTTAACAAGATTATCATTAAAGACAGTTTAATAGAAATATATAAGAAAATTTTGCTTATCCAAAGATCAGTGACACTTTTAAATCACTGATTAACTTATCATGAATGATATAAAAGGCAGCAAATATTTTGAGTTTTATCAAAACGATGATGAAAACTGCAAAAGCATTTTCTTTTATTTTCTTAATAGGTAAAATAGTTTGAATAATGAATTTTTATTATTATTAAAACTGGTATTAATTTTTCAGTGTGTTTGGCAAGACAGAGTGTTTGTTTTCTTTGTCCAGTGGATGAGGACTTTAAACCGTTAGATGGTGCATTTGCGGATCCGAACAATTGCGCTATTTACTACCATTGTATTAATGGAACATCTTACAGTCAGCAATGTCCACCTGGCCTCGTCTTTACAATTTCTGTAATAAATTGCGAGTACTCAACTTGTGTAGAACCGAAAGACTCCAAATGTCCAGGGGATAATCAACAGCAATATTCCAGATCATTCCCCCAATGCTCCCAAAGTAATCCAGTTGCCAAAGATCTCAGTGGAACTTGTTATAAAACGAATGTGGAAGATTGTCCACCAAATAGAAATGGAACTTTTCCAAATAGATTTGATTGTAGACAGTACTTTCATTGTGTAAATGGTCAACAATGGCCTCAGCAATGCCCCAATGGATATTTCTTTAGTCCGGATTTAAATGTAAGAGATTGCTCAACTAGAATGTGTGTCCCATTCGAAGAGGCTGAATGTCCTATATCAGGAGGATGGTCTAGTTGGTCAGCCTGGCAAAATTGCCAACCATCATGCGGCAGTGGAACAAGAGTTCGAACAAGAAAATGTGACAATCCTCCTCCTTCTAATGGAGGTTTTGACTGTTTGGGAAACGAAGTTGATGTGGAACCTTGCGAAAATGATCCTTGCATCAATACTGTTGAGCCAGCTTTTCTCCTATCTAATATCAGAACGGAACGCTTCGATAAATTTAATAGAGTAAATTTCAATAATTTGAATATCTACAATTCCTCCACAAATAGGCTGACAATTCGGAAATCTGGAATATATGTATTCTCACTAACAGCTGGAGCAAATCATATATCTGAAGTTAATTTAAGACTGGCTGCAACGCCTACAGCAGTTGGGTTGATAAAAGGAAGCCAATTTGATAATGCTAGAGGACCTTTGGTGAAATCAAGGATAATAATTTCTTCCCTAACACCTCTATCCTCTCCTTACGTTCCATCTCATACAGCTGGTTTATACTTTAGTACGGAAGCTGGAAAAGAGACTGCATGGTCAGGATTCTATATCAGCACAACAACAGTATTATTCGCTTCTTCTTCTAGAAGGGAAACAAATACTGGTGAAATATCGCTGCCAGCCACTCACACATTGAGGAATGTTATTGTTATAAGCAATAGTTTTATAGTTGGTAGCAGTGACATGTATTACATCCAATTTGGAGCTGGAACGTCATATTTGAAAGATCTTGAAATATCTGTCTTTATCAATACTGCAAAAACTAATTCTACTCTGATAAGAATTGGAAATTCTGATATATTAAATGACCAATTTTCAAGAGGTTTTCTAATTCATTTACAGAGTAATGATCGAATAACTTTACACAACAATAGAGGAGCAATTAGGTCAAGTTCGAACAACAATGAACTCTACTTATGCGCTTTAGCGTTAAATAGAACAAGAGAAGCCTTTTACGCCTATAGAACAACAGATTTCTCTAGTTCAGCTTATAGGAAAATTAATTTTGATAAAATTGAAATCGATGAGGGCAATTCTTGGAATTCAGCAACTATGGAATACGTAAGCCAAGTTGATAATCTCTTTCATGTTGATTTCTCAATTGGTGTTGGCGCTAATATTAGAGGATCGGCTAGAGTTGTTGTAGATGGTATCGAAGTTTTAGCTGTTCGAAGAGGATTTACAGTTACCTCTACCATTGATACAGTCTCAAGATCTGGTCTGGTAAGATTAAATATAGGATCCAGACTTTCAATTCAAGGTGAAGGAGATTTGAAACCATATAATTCCCAATTAATATCTTTAACATTATTTCCCGTATCTTCCTTAAATTCAGCCTAAATAGATGATTCTTGTTCTTCAATTCTCAAAATCATAACTGTACAATGTTTATAATTTTTTTAAAAAAATACATTTTCAAAATGGCTGCCTAAGCAATGCGTCTCTGATTCAGAATAATGATGACTTTCATCTTGTATTCCGCCATCTGCTCTTCGACAGTCAATAGTCCTATAGTTTGAATATCCCCAGATTTCAGCAGCTGCTTTTCTTGATAAATAGTTGATTATTGAATTTTTTTTTATAATTTAAAGCTGCTAAAAGACTGTTAAAGAGATTAATATCGGTATGAATAGTCAAGAAAATGATATATATTTCTATATTCTGCTTTTTTGTTCTTGTAACCAAACTTTGCAAATTGTCTGTAGTAATAACAAATATTTATCAAAGTGTAATAATGATTAATGGCCAGTACTGTATTATATACTTTTAACTGCTTTTCAAGTCTCAATTGAATTATGGGAAAATTGAATTAATGCTCTCGTATTAGTGTGTAATGCATATATTATTAATATATAAAAAGAGTAATCATTTGGCTATAGATAACATTTTTTACAATCAAGCCTATGAATGAACTCAATACATAAGAAAATCGTTGAACACTTTCAAATATACATTTTTTACTAATGATTCAGAAGATTTTCATAGCTTTTTGCCAACAATAATGTCAAGAATGGTTCATGTAGTACAGTTACCATGACAACTGTTATTGAAGAAAATTATTCCAATATTAGCATGAATATTTGCTGTAGGATATAAAATTTATTGAAAAATTGATAGATTCATAGAAAAATGAGATATTCTTATTAAGTGATTGTTAAGAAAGAAGGACAAAAAACAATATTCTATAGTGTAATTGATCTCTTTCAATTTAATATGATAAGACATCAATTTACTAAATAAAATATTCTTTTTTGTCTGTTAAATAGCAAAAAAAGATAATCCTTATCCTTTAAATGGAAAATAAACATATGAATTTTCTTCAATATCCACACCATATTATTACTATAACTTTTCATCAATAGTAGATATTATGTATGAACAATCATTCATCTTGTATTTTCCTTTCTCTATTTCCCCATATTTTTCTCAACCTAAATATTCATCCGTTAAGCCTAATAATTTCATACAAAGGGAATTGCTAGAAATTTTCTATACACTACACAAGCATTTTTAATTTATGTGGAATGAGAGCAAAGATGAAGAATGATCTAGCAAAAAAATGATAAATGATGAAAAAATAAAAATATTACCATTATCAATTGTAAATTCAATTGAGTAAATTCTAAAAACATGCGTAACCATTTTACAATCAAGTTCATAACCAACAGTTAAATCTTCAAAAAAGATTTTTTTTGCACAAACCTATTGATTAAAGTTGAAATTTTGAATATTTAACTATATTCTATTAAAAAATTCTCTTACAGAAGGATAATCAGTTTTCTCAAATTGATTTGCTATAACATGAATAGTGTTTTTCTTGTGAATAATACTGTAGACATCACCCGCTTCAATAGGTATAGGCTGAGAAAGAGTTACAGTTTGCTCACTCAATGGTGCCGCATTTTCTACTTCAATTATATGAAGTAATTTGAATTTGAAAGGATACACTTGATCCGGAAGTGGCCTCCAAATTCCAATAAAACATATTCCGTTATACTTTCGGAATATTTTAAAGCTTAGCATACGACCACTGCAAGGGAAGCTTGGATGCACAACCACATTTAAGTGATCTCCTCCACCCTCTGCTCTATTTATGATAGGTGAACCAAATGTTGTTATGTTGTTATTGCAAACATCTGATTGCTCTAATTTATAAAAAAGAACAAAACTAGTAAATTTCCTTTTTAACTAAAAAAAATAGATATGCTTACTATTATATTCTGCTGAAATATCAAAGTTTATGGCATAGTGTCTAGGATTTTGTAATGCAGGAATTTTTACAACTCGACCGGTGGGCAATTTAAGAGTTTGAATATCAAGAACAGCTCTCTAAATGTTAGAAATTCATAATATTTAAAGAGATAAAAATAGACAAAGAAATAGATATTTACATCATAAAGTACAGATACCATGGGGTCGTCTATATTTTCAGTCATTCTGATATTATGTTTATGATTTTTTAAAAAATCAAAACTAATTGAATAATTTGCTTTTACATAAATTTTTTCAGTAACATTCAATACACGAATTCCTGCAGTTGCTGATGCGGGAATTACAATTTTGCTCCTGCAAACATAGGTCAATGGATTTTCCTGTAATCTCTCCCAAATTCCAATATGTAAAGGATAATTATTACCCAAACTATCAATAGTTACTGAATTTATATATCCATTGCATGGAAATTTAAATCCTACAAGCATATTAAATCCATCATTTCCCTGAAGATTTACAGGTTTCTTATCCAATGGAGGTCCAATAGTTGTATGATTTTGGCATTTTTCTTGTTGTCCTAAATCTATTTATATTAATTGAAAAACAAGAACAAAAATCTAAGAAGAAAAAGAATATAATACATTACCAATTAATGTTAGAAATATAAAGACAGTGTATAATTTCCATATGGGCTGTTTTAAATTTAAAAACAGCATTTCTTTGTTGGAATACTAGAAATTCTTGAGTAAATGAACAGTATAGAATATTATAATTGAGCAGCATATGAATAAATAATATGCTGAGATGGTAGTCAATGCAACATGAAGTAATAATGACATTAAGATTTTGTCCAATTATTTTTTGTATATTGTTGCTGATTTTCACAAATGATATGATTTTAGGAGAAGAAAGTTTTTACTTAGCAAAATTATAGTTTTACCGTAGCCTAGGTTAAGCGTTTGCTATGCACTTTTCGATAGCTCTAAGCCCTATATAGGACTTCTCTAACTAAAAATGAAAACTAGTTGTTTTATTTCTATTAGCCGTTTTTCATTCCAAAGTCTAGCTTTAAAACACCTCATTTTATATCTGGTTAAATGTTCATAAGTGCATGATAAACCATGCTATAAAAAAGGACATTATTAAAATAACACTAATATCTTTCGCAAAAGGAAAGAAAAATATATTAAAACAAAGTCAGATCCAAAAGTTGTTGTTCAACTTTGGTATTTCCTTAGTAATAATGTAAAGATGGGTTGATTTGGTTCTATATTTATCTTCCCTCAATTCTACATCTCTCTTCTAAATGGCTTACTCCTAATTCGGTTTTAATCGGACCAGTACTTGCCTACAACACTGCAGCATAAAGGATATTTTGGTTTAAGTTGGGTGTTTTAGTCCTATTTTGGATAAGATCTATAGGAAGAATATGTAAAGAATATATGTTAACTAGCTTTTATATCTACCTTCAAGAATTAATAATACTTTTTTGAATTGAAATATGGATACTGTATAGAATATTGGAATGATTTTTGATATTACTCTATGAACAATAGATTGTGTATACAATACTGTTTAATAGTGATTGAAATCTAAAACTTCAAATGAAAACATAACTGGAATTTAATTAAAGTAATTTTATTAAATAAATTACAATATTTGTCTACAATTTCATAGAAATTGTTCCCGCGCATTATATATGCGCCGCCCTACATGAAACTAGGTCAATACTGCTGATCTCTATCAGTGCCATCTGCATAGTACAATACTGGTTCAATACTACTTATTCGTAGAATAAGCTTGTGAATTTATGTCTACACAAGCCCGTATTGATTATCTAGATCTGACTGAATAAACTCAATAGGCCTATTATTTAATATATATATATTATATCAAATGGAATGCTATTACTTTATAATGCTTTATTTTGTTGTATATTCTCAGCAGCTTCCATAGCTCAGTTGGTTAGAGCGTCGTGCTAATAACGCGAATGTCCTGGGTTCGACCCCCAGTGGGAGCAATTTTTTTTTTCTTTTTTTTTTTAACAGCAAACTTATTTTTAATGAATGAATCAATCATGGCAAGGTGAACACTTAAAGAGGGATATAACTCAATTGGCAGCCAACAACAGATAATTGTATTCTCATTATGTTCCTATATATTAAATTTTTAAAATTCATTTTTTTTCACTGAAAGTAGAACTATAAATAGTTTTCGATTGAAATATTCTCTTTCTATCCAACTTGTGTAGCATTATATTTTTGATTTAGCGAAATCTTTACAACATCATCAGTTCCCAAGTCAAAATAATAAGCTCTGTAGAAAGAAGATTCTATCATTTTGAAAGTCACAAACCCTTAACCATTTAAGGGATAAGATACAGGAGGAAGTTGAAAAAATAAATAATTAGTAACAATGTTGGAGGCTGTAAAGTAGCCATTTTTTGTAAACTGTGCAGGCTTACAGTACTAAAAATTTTCTTTGTTTGCAGTTTGAAATGATACTGTAGGCTTAATTTAAGATATTTTTTACTTCTACGCCACCTCAATGTTAAATTCTTTTGATATTTTGTATTCCATTTGGTTTTGTTGGCTAGGTAGCGTAATGGGACGTTGCTATAATTCACAAGGTTTCTCGAATTGTGACAGGTATTTTTGCACCAACCTGATAGGTCAATGTCGTTACAACCTTCTATAAAACCATTTACAGCGAAATTTTTTCTCAAAAGCGTCTCTGCAAAACACTGCAAATGTTTTATCAAGAGAAAATTTTGAAAGATGTCTAAAATTTTTATACAAATTTGTTTAATTATTTGGGTTATAAGTTGTAGTATGTTTACTCTACAGCCACTCATAAAACCGTTAAAAAAATTAAACTCTCTGATTTTTGGAAAGTGTTTGATCTATATTCAATTTCTTATCAACACTCTATTTTTTATAATTCAAAGATTTTTCACAATTGATAAATCAGCTGGAAAACTAAAATTTCTAGAGTAATAAGATTTTTACTTCCTGCAATTATATTCATGATATTCCAACTATTAAAAGTGACAAAAAAGTACTGAAAGGTCAAAGTTGACTATTTTTTAGCTTTTTTAACCCTGATTCTCTTAACACATTCTTCTCTTGGGGCCGACAGAAAACGTCCCCAAATGAGATTTTTGAAAGCAACATTTCGGATTGAAAAATGGTTAGCAGGAGTAAAGTAGCTTTTGATTTGTAGTTAGGGGGGATCCATCTAAGGGTTAGGAGCAATCAAAAAGGTTAAGGAGAGACAAGGGCTAGGTTAGGGTTAGGGTTAAATCATGAATTTGGGGACGTTTTCTGTTGTATCCTCTTCTCTTTAACACTATTTGACAGCCTATAAAACCTGAACACTCTCAGTTGTATTCAATTTTTATATAGGGAGTTAACCAACTAGTGTTTTATACCGGGAGGAAACTAGCTGATAAGGAATAACAAAAACAGTTCTTATCCCTATCTAGAAGCTTGAATGTGGTAGAAAACGGCCATAAATCTATGGTTTTACCGTAACCCTAACCTAGCCCTTGTTTTTGCCTAAACTTTTTCAATGCCACTAACCCTTAGATAGGACCCTCCTAAGTACGTATCAATAGCTATCCTATTCTCCTAACCATTTCCCAGCCTGAAATCTGACCTTCAAATATTTCATTTATGGCCGTTTTCGACCGGTCCCTAGAAGCTTTATACTTTTATACATTTTTATAAAAGTCAAGTAGAGGTAAGAAAATGTATAAAAAACAGGGTTACAAGTAGCAAAAATATTCAATTCGTAGTCAATCATCTTTATTGCTCATATTTTAGCTAATTTCTTATTTTTGGTTGTATATGCAGAAAAACTACTGTTCTTTCTCTTGTTTTTTTGCTGAGCCACATTATCTTTTTTCCAATAATCTGCAGTGGGACAAAATTTTAAACATATTTTCGTAATTGATCAAAATGTAATCGTTATATACTGTACTGCTCTTGCTCATCTTTTCTGATTACCTGGGTCTTTTTGGGCTCTTTTCTTTGTTGAGTTTCCAATTTTGACACCATTGTGATCAGTTTTCTTTGAGTTAGTTTTAATGAAGTTTCTGCTTGCTTAGCAGCCTCATATAGTTCTGCCAATGTTTGACATTTAGGATGTAAGGTGTACACTAAATGTAGAATATCCTGTTGTAATCCTCTTTGTAAAACTTCCATCAGTTTTATTTCTTTCATAGTTGCAAGCAATTGTGGTTCCATTGGTCTAGGTGGAGAAAACCTCTTTATCAATTTCTTTGCTCTATTAACAAACTGAACCACACTTTCGCCATTCATTTGCTTTAAGTTAAGCAATTTCTCTTGATACTCCAAAGGATCCAGATCAAATTCGTCATGGAGGGCTTTCCATATTTCCTCCACAGTAGGCTCTCCATCCAGAGCCAACACCAAATCCTTTGCAGGACCAGTTAAATAATCTAAAAGATTTGCTTTCACAACATCTTCACCTATCCAACCATAAGCATAACATGCCTGATTAAAGTCTTCCTTGAATTTTGAACACTCCTTGCTTCCATCAAACAAATTGAGAATAGTTCTTTGAGGGCGGTCCCAAGCAGCCCTTAATGCTTGAATTACTGTTGTGATATCAACATTTGGGTTCTGTGCTGGGTGATGTGTTCCATCTCCATGATCTGTTGGAATTGTGATTCGATTTCTTTTCATTTCACTCACCAATCTATCATAGTCTTCAATTAGTCTTTGTTGCCTTTCTGACATTCCTGCTGGCTGAATTGTAATTGTTGGAGTTGCTGGGGTTGAAGGGTTAGAGTCTGTAACTGCCCCATTTCCTCCCTCTGCCATATTTACTTTCTCAAAACTTTTGAATAAACCAAAATATTATCCTGTTGACTGCGCCAAATTTGTACTGCTCTTGCTGGCAAAATCTATGCATTTGCAAGTTATAACAATACTGGTTCTACTCGAACCTTTAAACAAATGTTTCAATTAAAACGGTTTATTCGCAATAATAATACTTAAGCAAGTAACAATATGAGAGTTTGATAGCAGAGTAGATAGTTCATAAAAGCAGGTTGCCAAATTACCAAACTGTCTTCTAATGTTGAGGAGTAGATGGATGGTTCCAGTGGAGGTTGTTTCCAGATGATTTTCCCAGGTCCTTGGGTCCAGATGGAAGCTGCATGCCAAATGAGAATAGTGAAGATTTATATACTTTGAGGTTTGCCTCTGACATCCAATCATCACTTTACAGTTGCCGAAATGTGTAGTTCATATTTATATTTAGTAAGAGGATGTAACAAGGTTGAACATTTAGGAAGGTTAATTGAATTATAACTTGGCCACACCCTAGGCAAGTTAATTAAATTATAACTTGGCCAAACCTTTATTGGTAATTAAAGATGAGCCTTGAAGCTGACTAATGAGACTTATGTTTGGCCAATGTTATAGCATTTTCTTGCGTAGGTTTTAAGATGTACATGTATATATTGCATCAAATAATAGAGTTCAAGCATGTAAAATATAGCAAAAGTTGTACAATACTGGAAATCTATTTTGGGAATAGTCTAATGAAGAGGAGAAAATTAGAAGGCAATTCACTCCAAAACACTTATTGTTAATTTCCGCTTACTTGATGAGTCATTGCTATAAATTGCAACAATTATTGTTATATATCCTTCATAGCTGATAGCCATTTTCAATCTGTTTATTGATCAGTAGAATTTTTGTCCTATGTTAAACTATTCAAAGTGGGTATTAACATTTTTGTCACATCGGATATTTTGACAGATGGAAGCACTGAAAAAGACAGAAATTTCTCCTCAAAATAGTCAAAAGAGATATGCAAATGTCTTCTCAAAAGAAAAAATTCGAATATCATTTAAATCTGAAGAAGAATCATCTGCTCCAACCTGTTTAGACTATGTATTGTTTTGTACAACAACTCTTAGTGTATCTTTGAGCATCTACTCTATGATATATATTTCAACTGTAGACTAT